GATAGATAGATAGATAGATAGATAGATAGATAGATAGATAGATAGATGATAGATAGATAGATAGACAGACAGACAGACAGACACACACACACACATACAGTATATATATATATATATACTGAGATATATATGCAGAGATTTACATTGTTACATGTTTCTTAAGTTTCTCTTGTACTGAAGCAAAAGGTGCACAAGCAAAGTCTCTTTGTACACAACTCAGCATGACAGCTAAGACACAAACTGGCATTAGTTGTCAGAATACGTCACGTGAGCGAAGGTTTCAAGGTTACGATTTCTTCCTGAGTGCTGTGTAATATATCAGGTCAAAAGTCAAGGAGGCAATGGCAGCTCCAGATGGTTACTTTCTACTTTGGGAAAAAAGATGGTGCTGAGAAATACCCCATCTCTAAATATGAGATATGTTGACATCAGGATGTATTTTAGGTTTTGGGATTTGTGAAGGGGCAGCGTGCTTGACCCTGTTATGGATACGTGATCATAAAGAATAAAGTTTGACAGTTAAAAGGCATTCAGGTTTGGGTTCAGGTAACGAGATGCTTTCAAATACAGTAAAATTGTTTTTGCACTGCTGCATTTGCTTAATCTTTCCTCATGAAACAAGACTTGTTACATTAAATCTGACATCACATTTTGTCTCACATTAAACACTTTAGAGCAAGGTAGCTTTTATTTTGCCTCCTCATCTTTTCTCAATGTGTCTCCTTTTTTCCATTCGCCATGCCAGTACCAAACCCAAATGAGCAGTATGTTGTGTACAGTAAGATCAGGTGTCAAGTGGCTCAATGCTGCGGGTGCTGCAGTGTGCTGCTTGAGAGTGGCACGGTGTCGTCTTCCTCTGGTTAAGAATGTTGCCAGCATTAACACCATGTACATCAAAACCGACACCGTCTCAGAGAAGAGAACTTTGTGTGGTCCCTTTTCAGCACATCATTATGCAGCAGGCGGGATATTAGGCCCTTCCTTCAATAAATCCTCCAAGCTTTCATGCAAGAACTGGGCAGTAATCACTCTTCTGAAAATCTTCTGATACTCAGGACACCAGTGTGTCACAAACAATAAACTGATCCTGCATCACACTGCAAAGCTGCTGTAGTCCTTTGGGATGTAAACGCCACACATGAAAGTAGTGTGTTCTGTGTACCTCAGAAGTTAAAATAGATCAGGGAATGAAGTCACACCGAACTATAATGTGTTCCAGTTGGAAGTAAAGCAAACTGTGGGATTTGTTGTGCTCTGCAATGAGGTTAACTATTATTAGCAATACAAGCTCATAATGTCTTTTTTTGCATTCTGCAGCAAAATATACATAAAATGATGTAGCGTGTAAAGTTCAATGAGACTAACCTGTATAAATAAAAGTTGCATGAATGAATGAACAACTGATCAGAAACAAAACTAAAGCATTTATTTCTGCTACTGTTTTTCTGCAAGGCCATGAAAAGTTGTAGCAGCCATATTGCTTTTTGAGACTGGGGTTTGTCACAATTTTGACTTTGGAGGGAGAGGTGCATCTCAGTTGTTTTTTCTGAATTGGAACTTAGACGTTCGGAGTACAAAACTATTTATTAAAAATCCATGTAACAGGCTTTATAATGTTTAGCTAACCACTGGCTGTCACAAATATTTCAAACATTACGCAACAGAAGGAGAAAAGTTGGAGATTTGTTCAGGTTTTCTGAACAATGAAGAGTTCAACTGCTCTTGTTATCACATTTTAATGTGATTTCATATTTTCTTTTTTAAAATGTGAATACAAGGCAAACTCATTATGTTAAAAAATAAGGGTGCAGTGACTGCAGGTTTCTGGCCGATCAACAATCTCTAACAAGTCTGACCTGCCGATTCTGATTTTGGCCGATACCCATTTTGTTTTAAAGCAACACTGTCAGGAGTTATGAGGTCACAACGCACCTTCAATTTTTCAATCTTATTTTATTGAAAAACATACCCTTGAACAATATCATAGAAACAATATAAACTTGTTTTAACTGGCCATGAGGTAGTGCTCTGAAATATAAATGAAGTTTAGACTATTGTTGTTAAAACTACAAAAAAAAATTGGTAAAATCGGTTTTTCGTGTATCATCAGTTCTCCAATCTCCCAAAATTAAGGAAATCTGGGCCAATAAATCGCCGGCCGATTAATCGGTGCACCCCTATTAAAAAAAAAAAAAAATAATTAGAAAATATATCACAAAAAGTGAGAAAGTGGAATATAAATATTCACTGAAAATCAGACAGAACTGAAAGCCTGTTCATAAGATGATGCCATAATTAATTTAACAAAATAGCAATATAAATAATAACAAACAAAGCAAAATATGCTTGTGGTGTATTTTAAAAATATTTAATATCAAATTATTTTTTATGCTTTTTAGCATTTTGCACCATTAAACAAAAGGTTCAGCAGCATTCTAAAATATGAGCACACATTTCCAAAACTAAACAGTTACAGCAGGAGAAAACAAGTGTTTGTCTTTGTATTGTTGAAACACAAAACCTTTTTATAGCTGCTCATCTTATACATTATTCTGTTTTTCTTTAAGAAACCGTTATGAAAATCGTTAGAACAAGTTCAACACAGTAAAAAAGAGGGAAGACAGGAGACAAGTTTCATGATTTTTAAAACGCAGAACAGATGTGCTGCCAGTAACTAAAAAAAGAAAGAACATTTATTTTAATGCTCGGCCGTACCGTGGTATACACTTCATCTGCGCTCTGTCTTATTGTTAAAACAAGACGAGTTTTATTCTCAGAATGGACAGCTCTACGTCAGATTGTAGAGTCGAGGTTGTGTGAACAGAACTCAAACGCCACTACAACAGAATGAACACACGCCTCTACAAACTGTATCAAAAGGAGTCATGGTTCTCAAGTAACAATACTGATCATGATATTGATACTAACTTTTTCATCTTTGTATTAAAATGAACTTTCTCTCCTTGGAATGAAAATTCACTCAGTTAGTGTAGTTCATGGACTAAAGGCAGTTAAAAAGGCACTTTGTGTTTTATTCAGAAATTTCAGATACAAAGATAAAAACAAAGATTTGTGTTGTTGCAGCTGCTGCATGTGGTGTTTCCAAGGAGTCGCTAATCCCAAGGACTAAAGCATGGAAAACCTTCAGTTTAAGGCAGTAAGGCACCTGCTGAGTAAGGTTTGTAGCTGGCAGTGCCAACATAAAGCTTTGTTAAACTTTGGTCCAAGACCTTCAACAAAAGCACAAAAAAGATTCCAACCAAAAGTGAGATTCCACTTTTGTTTCTACAAACTAGGTTTGTAATTATATCTCCATGTTCTATTTTATCCTATACTTTATAAGGTATTCGGAAACCATGATTTTTAAGATATTAGTGTTTCTTAGAGCTTACTGGAGCGCTGCATTGTGTTCACCATAAAAATTCATGTCTTGAAAGCTGCAGAGCAGAACAGCATTCACATATTCAGCACAGCAGTAAAGTTGTTTTAAAAAACACACAAAAAAATGTAGAAAATATGATGTCCTGAAATGCTGACACAACTTTACCACTGGTATCAGTCTCTTATAGTGCTAAAAATGTTCAATCTTTAAACCTAAACAAAAAGAAAGGGTCTCTCAGAAGACATCATAGAGGGCACATTAGCCAAAAAGTCAGTGTGCTATATGGCTGAGTAGACGTAGAGTTCACTGATAGCCACACTTCAGATGTGACACGTCCAAGTATCTTCAGAATGGCAGCGTATCCATAAAGATTTTCTCCACTATTGGTGGAGGAGGGACCAGGTCCTCCACTTTCAAGTAGAAGATGCGCTGCCGGCCCTGAGTGCACAGAGTCCTCAGCTCAGGGAGTTTGCCCAGCAGACGGGAAATATAGCTGGGCTGTGTCCGACTTGGTTCTGAGGCACTTCCAGCCATATGTTCCCTTAAACAAGTGATGAGGTTACTTTGAAAGTCTTCGACTCGTCTGGGCTCTTTGAGGCCATGGCGGTCTATAGAAAAAAAAGATATTCCCATCAAAAACAGAATCCTACCTTCAAATATTACACTCAGAAAGAGAAACAAAGCATCTTACCAGTGATGATGACAAGGGCTGAAAGACAGGCGAACAGCGAGGTGTCTAAGTTCATGCGATGAAGGTTCTGAGAAAAATCCATGATTGAGTCGATCCAGGCACCAAAACTGTGAATGCACTGTTGCCGATGGAGGACAACTCCGTTACAGAAGATCAGCTTGTTCTCCTCTGGTTTTGACCTGAAATGGTTAAAACCATTATAGCCATCAGAAAAGGTGCACGTTTCTGCTGTATAACTTTTTTGAAATAATGCACCAACCTGTAGGCCAGGCGAAGGATGAAGAGTTCAACAAAGGAAGATTCCAGAAGCAGCTCCTGGTCTTCCGTGCAGAAATCTATGAACCCTGGGATGGTTTGAGCCCAGTTTCTTATTACGTCCAAAGCGCCGGTCAGCAGGTCATAAAACTGCTGGATATCATCGGCATCTTCCTTCTCTTTGAGACTGTCTGTCCTCTCCTTGTACTGCAGAGCAAACAAAGGTAAGGGTTAGTTCTATGTTTCCAGTCATGTGTGTCACCTAACCAGTGTAGTTACAACATCTGGACTCCTGAAAGTCGTGAGCTTCACCTTGGAGAAGTCGAGCTTGTCGTTGGTTGGGTCTGAGTCAAAATGAGCTCTGACAAGAGAAGATATGATGTTCACACAGGGAGTCATGGACGAAGCCTCGGTCACCGGCTTGGGTTTGGAGGGAAGGCGGCCTCGGCGACCTTTGAGGCTGTCTGTGCGAACCACTACAAGACAGACAAGGAGACGAACACAGTCACTTTACCATCATGCAGCAACTGTTGCATGTCACACTTTAAAAAATAGCTTCTGTAATGGATTCAGCACCTCACCCCCCGCCCCCCTTTTTTTTCTACAACTGGCACTGTAAAACTCAGGTTACACATGTCTTCACTTTAAGCTTTGGTTTCCCAAGACTGGCATTACAAACCTGTCATCATGTACGAGCCCCTAAAAGCTTTGTGAGTCTGACATTGCTTTACCTTCTTTGACCATTCCCACAGCGAGACACTTCTGGAAACGGCAGAACTGGCATCGGTTTCTCCTCCTCTTGTCTACCGGACAGTCTTTATTGGCGAGACACACGTATTTTGCATTTTTCTGGACAGTTCGCTGGAAAACACAGGGAAAAAGCTTTATAATGTGATCTTAATGTGGCAAACACAGTATAACTTTGTGCATAACAGAATGGAAACACATTGGGGGGTTTTCTAGTCCATCTTCTTTTAATTCCACATTTGAATCTTTTGCTGTTGCATTTTAAGCAGCACAGATGTATAAATGGCAACACAAAAAGGACAAATCAGATCTCCTGAAGTGGGGGTTTGTAAAAACATTATAAAGAATTATCCTACAAGTAGTGGCTTCAGTAGAGAAATGGAGATTATTTCTTACTGGATTGACAGAGTAAAGGTTATCTGAGTAGAGCCAAGAAGAAAGTGTCTGAAAACCACTTTGGACTTGGACTTGCTCAGACTAGCTGCTAGCTTGTCAAGCTAGTCAGAATTTAACTTCTTTTTGACAAATTGTAGACCAAAATGCTATCTATGACACAAATTATATTATTTGTTCATGCATGCACTGCGTGGAACAATTTGACATAAATGACTATGTGCCTACATATTATGTGTCCCATATTAGTTTATCATGCCAGACAAAACTGCTTGTTTACTTTTATTTCTCACACAAGTCATCATGTGAGGTTTGTTCTCTTTGACTGCAAGTTTTTTGTACTCAGAAAAGAAAACTTTGTATAATAGACCTGCTAAATGCTTGGTGTTTGTTTTACCTTAAAGAAACCTTTGCAACCCTCACAGGTGCGGACTCCGTAGTGCTGACAGGACGCACTGTCACCGCAAACTGCACACCGACCCTCACTGGATCCAGAATTTGGAATTTTGGGAGACATCATGGCCCCTTCCAATATTCTGGGGATCTCCAGGGCTCCGTGTTCCAGAGACATGGGAGGGCATTGAAGTGGGGACATGTTTTGCTGAGGTGACATGAAAAAAAGATCATCTTGACTACATGGAACATCCTCATGCTGCCCCAAAGGAGAGTACTGATCCTGTGTAGGGCTGACGGTATAAAACGAGAGCTGCTGAGCCATGTTGGCCTTATCCACAGAGAACGGGAGGGCCGGGGGGAATGGGCTGAAAGGGGAATCCCAGACAGGTGCGGGCTCGGTTTGAAAGCCTGACGTTGAAGGAGAGGCCGTGCCATAGATAGGGCTTCCATAGTAGTCAGAGGCACATGATGAGAGTGTTTCTTCTAGACAGCTAAGAGCAACAGATCCTGGATAACAGCCATAGATCTGGAGATCATCCAGCTTAAAGGTTTGGTTCTGCATCTGTGGGCTGAGGCTCTCGGATGTTGCAGGGTGGCTGAAAGAAACTGCAGAGGTCGACGGAGAGGTGGTAATCCTGCAGGAGTAGGCATCAAACTCGCCACTGTAGCCATTTCCCACCAAGGTGTTGATGCTGGGCAGTGAGGACATAGACAACTGGTCCTTTTGGCCGGTGATTTCCATCACCAGTTTGGCACAGTCTGGATTCAGGATCTCAGAGCTTAAGTAGTTGTCATAGGGCAATGACGTCAGCTGGGTTTGTACGCAGGGCATCGCTAAAACAGAGGAAACAATAATAATCAAATCATAAGCATTTTCAAATTGGAGCACCCAATTTCATAGCAATGCACTGTGAATAACTGGGACTGACCCTTCATAAATGAAGCCAATTTTAGTCTTATTTGTTAAGTTTTCATTTTTTAAACCTTCCTCTGTAGCCATGTAAACAGTAGTCAATGTTAGCGCAGGGAATGTGTGCTGTCTCGTTTCACCCGACATGCCATTTCTCTCGCTCCAGGCCCCATCGGTCCTGGTTGGAAAATGCAGAGGGTGGTTCAGTGGAGCGCTCAGATATTGTCAGATATTGTGTTACCGGCTGTTAATGCTTTGAAAAGCTCCTTCAGTGCTCCTTCAGTGGAGGGCAACCCTCTCTGCAACAGAGAGTGTTGCAGATTGTATTTCACCTTTGGATGACTGCCAGTCAAAATGGGCAAATGTAGTGGTGTGTGTGCGTGCGCGCATGTGTGTGTGTGTGTGAGGGGGGCGTGTATCCACAAGGTTTAACACGTGAAGCACATCAATTAACACACTGATCCCTCTTTAAAACATTTACAAAAGTCAAATGACAGCTCTCAAGCTAAAGTTTTGATGTAATAAACATGTTTTTTATGTTTGTGTGTTGTTACATTTACTTTTTAAAGACTTTTCAAGTAGCAATAATGGCAGACTCCACAAAGTTCATAAGATTGAACCTTTCCAACATGAATTAAATCAGATAAAATAGCTAAACTTGCACAAACTTGGAAAAATGTGATTAAAGTTTTCACAGTATAGTTGCAATGGGCTAGAATATTTGACTGAAAAGAGTATATTTTCCATGATCTGGAAAATAACGCAAAGTAAAATGTCTGTACCTATACACTTAATGCATCACATTCTTTGAAGCAATGTATATCGCTCACCCCCTTGCATGCCAAAGTAAAAATAAATAAATAAATAAGTTCCTGGATAATTTGTTAAAGCACTGAATATGTTAAGGATGACTCTCAGCTGCTCATCTGTTAAAATGACTGAGTTAAAGGGAACTTTTGTGTTTGACACGATTAGCAGTGGCAGCCATCTTGGATCAAGTTGATCTGTTTTAGATATACATCTAATTGCTTTCTGTAATTTTCATGATGGTTCATGAGATATTTTGCTAACTGTATACAAATTAAGACAACCAACAACCGTCTTTCAATATTTGGAAAAGGACATAAACTGGATAAGAATAAATCCCAGATTAACTGTGAATTATTAACTATCTAGATTGAGCACATGCATGTTTTCTATATAGAATTACATAATTGCACCAGTTGAATGAAATTTAGCAGCAAATTGCAGCTGCTAGAGCTAAAGTTTTATCCATCCACCCATTCATCCACTTTTAAGGTTTAAATGCTAATTAAACCTTGTGTTTATCATACTAAGTAATGAACATATCAGATGATACACAGGAAAAATAGAAGAGTAATTTTTTCGGAGTTAACATTA